CCCCAAAACCCCAAAACCCCAAAACCCCTCAGTTACGAATGAGACACAATTTTTGATATATTTAAAAAGAATTATAAGAAATTTCGCCTGGCAAAATAGAGTGCCTGTCAGCAGAAGCTAAATAGATATTGGACAGTCAATATTAACCTTCAAATCTGAATGAATACATAAACTTAGAAAATTAACAATAATAACCTTCGAATCAGATTCCTAATCTGCTATCTATGGTTCATCACATTAAGTTGAGTTCTCTGTCTTTTTCTCTATCATCCTTGAACATCTTGTGTTCGTGACCTCTCTCCTGCTCGAATTCAATGACAAGCTTACCTTTGCTCTCAGCTGTCTCAGCTGCAATCACGTAATGATTATCACATCTACACATAGAAATTACAATCAGATCACTCAATTTAGGTCTAATTAACTGGTCAACTTACCTGGGACAATATTCATCAGATTCGTCGTTGTCATTATTCATGTCTTTTCTAAAAACCTTTCTGCACTTTTTGCAGGCTAAGATAATCTCCATAGATCTTTCAATGTCGTGATCCTAGGACTCAGCATGGCACTCTGGGCAATCGAACCAAAGCTTGCAGCATTGTGCTCTGACTTGGACTTGAGCGTTTAGGATGTGCTTACACATTTTAATTCCTCTAAAATTCAAATATTTAATTATTATTGAGGACGCCCTAATTAGCAGTATAATCACCCACCCACTTTAATTAAGAGGGGGGGGTCTCTTCAACTTAATATTTCTTAACTGAATATTTTAAAACTTAATTATAATAATTTAGCAGATTGGGGGTTATCTTGTAATGGCGGAAAATTTAGATTTCTAAGAGATTGAGGACGACTTTGACAAGGAAAAAGTCGATATAGATTTGAACAATGGGAACGATCACGAAAATAATATTAATGACACTAAATCAAGGGGTATAACTGGGGGCTAACCAAAGAAACCAAGTTCTGGCTTTCAGCTATTTATTGCAAGTCTCAAGAGTGACACTTCTTTCAAGGAGTCTCTTGGACCTAATAGTAGATAATTCCTGTAGGAGGCATCAAAGAGGTGGAATGAAATAGATTTAGAGTTGAAACAGACCTATCTAGACAGGGCTTAATAATAGAAAGAGCAGTATTAATAGTGGAAAGAGTAGCATAAGGAATTAAGAAGTAAAAGCAGAAACAATCTTGATGGTGAAGATGAAATCGACTACATTGACAATGAAAATGATGAGGAAGCCTAATCGATGAGAAGTAAGACTCTTATTCATTTACAATTTGCCTAGGAAAGTTTTTATAGCTACCGATTAATAAAATTAGAACTATTATCTAGAAGGATGAAGAGTATAATCTTATTAATCCAAAGGCTTTATTGCTGATATGTAAGGCCACAGAGATGTTTGTCCAAGATCTAGGGGGTGTTTGCGGATAAATTGCAAAAATGCAAAAAAGAAAAACAATCTTTAACTCAGATATTATTAGTGCCGCCAGTAACATAGACAAGTTCCACTTCATCAAAGGTAGTGATTAAGAATGATAAAACCATAATTATAGATAGTAAGTTGCCAGCTTTGAACCCTAAGAAGCAAGAGGAAAAAGAAATGCTTAAAGAGATATCTGAAATAGTTGAGAATGAATAAATAAGTGAAGATCAATAACTCAAATCTGGCCAATAGAATTAGGATATGGAAGAAGTGTTCCAAATAGAGACATGATCTTCTAAAATGTGGCGGTATATAAATCTACTATAATTTTCAGATCTTAGGTATTTTTGATTGAGTGTATTTGTATTTAATTCATCTGTTTACAAATTTCATCGTTATGATTAGATTGTGGGGTTTTGGGGTTTTGGGGTTTTGGGGTTTTGGGG